AAGGCGTCAAAAAGCTTTAGGTTTATAGAGATGTTGCGAAAATTCCTACAAATCAGCGACTTGTTTCAACAAGTATCTTACGATAAAAACACGTACTCACATGCCATAAATTTCTGTATAACAAATATACGATACGACTAGTTCTAATCCTAAGACTTTTGTGTGAAACAAGCTACAGATGAGTTGTTGTTATTAGAAGACTATACTTTTGTACACTGTGAAGATATTTAAAAGTTCAAAATTTGCTTGAGAAGATATTGAAACGTCCATGTTATGGTGCGAAAAAAAAATCGTTCAAGAAACCATCCATTTTTGTTGATATCCCCAAAAGTCTTTTGGAATTAAGAATACGAAAAGATGTACAATAATACAACTAGAGGCTCTAAAGAGCCTGTGTCGCTCACCTTGGTCTATGTGCATATTAAACAATGGACACAGATGGATTCATGACAAAATTGTGTTTTGGTGATGGTGATGTGTTTGTAGATCTTACTTTACTGAACATTCTTGCTCCTTACTATTATCTCTATCTATAATGAACTTGGCCCAGTAGTTACAGTGGAAAATATTTTGTAAAAATTTACAAAAATTTACAAAATTTATGAAAATTGTAAAAAATTGACTATAAAGGGCAATAACTCCTTCAGGGGTCAATTGACAATTTTGGTCATGTTGACTTATTTGTAGAACTAACTTTGCTGTACATTATTGCTGTTTACAGTTTATCTCTATCTATAATAATATTCAAGATAATAACCAAAAGCTGCAAAATTTTCTTAAAATTACCAATTCAGGGGCAGCAACCCAACAACATGTTGCCTGATTGGTCTGAAAATTTCAGGGCAGATAGATCTTGACCTAATGAACAATTTTATACCATCAGATTTGCTCTAAATGCTTTGGTTTCAGAGATATGGGCCAAAAACTGCATTTTACCCTATGTATTATTTTTTTGCCATGTCGGCCATCTTGGTTTGCGGGCAGGGTCATCGGACACATTTTTTAAACTAGATACCCTAATGATGATTGTGGACAATTTTGGTTAAATTTGTCTTAGTAGTTTCAGAGGAGAAGATTTTTGTAAAAGATTACAAAAATTTACGAAAAATGGTTAAAAATTGACTATAAAGGGCAATAACTCCTTAAGGGGTCAACTGACCATTTTGGTCAAGTTGACTTATTTGTAGATCATACTTTGCTGAACATTATTGCTGTTTACAGTTTATCTCTATCTATAATAATATTCAAGATAATAACCAAAAACGGCAAAATTTCCTTTAAATTACCAATTCAGGGGCAGCAACCCAACAATGGGTTGTCCGATTCATCTGAAAATTTCAGGGCAGATAGATCTTGACCTGATAAACAATTTTACCCCATGTCAGATTTGCTCTAAATGCTTTGGTTTCAGAGATATAAGCCAAAATCTACATTTTACCCTTATGTTCTATTTTTAGCCATGGCGGCCATCTTGGATGGTTGGCGGGGTCATCGGACACATTTTTTAAACTAGATACCCCAATGATGATTGTGGCTAAGTTTGGTCAAATTTGGCCCAGTAGTTTCAGAGGAGAAGATTTTTGTAAAAGTTTACGGACGACGGACGACGGACGACGGACGACGGACGCAGGACGACGGACGCAAAGTGATGAGAAAAGCTCACTTGACCTTTCAGGTCAGGTGAGCTAATAAAAGGACAACAGAAAATACTTAAGACTATTGGACAGTAATACAGACCATACCAAGTCTATTGAACAGTAATACATACCATACCAAGACTGTTGGACAGTAATACAGACCAAATGAACACTAGACTCCTCTGAAAAAATACACGTACAAACGAAACAGAAACAACAACGAACAACATATGCATGGTCCATACATCCTCGCTTGGTACAGACACAATTTGTTTGGGTTAAACCCGTTTTACTTTCGCACAAACCTCCCCCTTTGTCAATCTAGGTATTTGATTTCTGCAAGCAAAATGATAATTTAACAAAAGGATACGGTCTTCTGATAAAAGATTGTAAATAAATAAAAAAAAAAAAAAGAAGAAGACAACACCATAACAAAGAAAAACCAACGAAAAGACAAACAACTGTCTACAAAACACTACAGAAAACTAGAGACTAAGCAATAGGAACATCACCGACAATCAGATGTGATAACAGGTGGTCTGGAATGGTAAGCATATCCTGTACCACTCAGTATAGTGGAGTAGTTATGTTCATGTCATGCAAGTATAAATTCAGTGTTTAGTCGCATTCGGGAATGTTACAATCGAGGAACAGAAGACAATTGGAACATTTTTATGTTCATCTATGACATCGATTTTCTATAACGGCCGACCAAATCTTGGTGGCATCCATAAAACATTCACAGGGATGCAATCGTTGATTATATTTTCAGGTAGAAACGTTTGTTGTATTTTTTTAATCATTAGAATACCAATAATGTTTATTATTAACTTGTTCCATTTTTTATATTGATATATGAATAAGATTTGTTTAATTTGTTTTAGGTACCATGCTGCAATAGATAAAATGAAGGAATTAATCATTGACCATGGTGGGAAAGTGATGGCCTGTAGGGCAAAGTTTAGTCTTGCTTATTCAAGAGGTCATAAAGGTAGAGACTCCTATAACAACCAAATAACCGGAGGACCAATTGTCGAACAGGCTACACATGTTTGCGATTTGGCTAGATTTCTTGCGGGAGATATCAATCTAGACTCAGTTCAGACCATTATGCTGAAAGATAGCGACCCATCAGGGGCAGGACGTCTTTCGCATCTACCTCATGATGGAGAAAATAATATAAAACCTGGCGATAAAGTTCCTAGAGTTACATTTAGTCAATGGAGATTTGTAGACGGGGGAATAGGAACCCTTATGCACTCTATAGCTTTACCAGGGAGTAGACATGACATATCAATAGAGGTACAAATGGACGGACTGCAGTTGTCTCTGTTCAAACCTGTCGAAGAAGACAGTTCATTGGTCGTCCGTAATATTAAAGCAGACGACCCAAACAGGGATATCAATTATACCTTCAAGGAACAAGATTCATTCTTAAATGAGTTATCGGCATTTATAAATGCAATCAGAACTGGAGACCAAACTGGAATTAGGAGTTCTTATGAAGATGCTGCAAAAACATATGAATTCACATGGAAAATTAGAAGGACTGGTGAAGCAAACAGTGCATGACCCTAATACTAATTCACAGGTTAAAATGAAAATATGCGGCATTTAGTTAAACAGTTAGTGAGCAGCTTATGCTATTTGATGAGTTTTTTAATTTATAAATGTTTATTTTACACAGATTTCTATATCTAATTTCAAATAATTTAATAAAAAAAAAAACATATTCAAGATTGCAATTGGGTAGTAGAGGCATTCTTTTTTCTTGGCAGGTACACGTAGGAGTACGAAATACAATACAGAATTTTTTGTGTTCGTGTAGGTCATATGTCTGCCTAGTGTTTTGTTCCTTACAATTCCAAAATGATAAAATAGTGATAGTTTTGAAAGATTCAAGATTCGTTTTGGTTATTTAAATATTTCTTATAAGTAGTCAGGAATAAATCAAATGCAATTTATATTTATATTTCGGCAACCTAAAACTCACGTTGTACCAGAGTAGATACGCGTCACACTAGTAGTAATTGCATTCATGAACAGATACTATAAAACTTAACTTGTTATAACAATTCTTTTCATTGTCAATTCTGACAACAAAAGCCGCTTAGAAGCAGAATAGCAAACCTTGTTCAGGTCATGGATGTGCACGAAATATAGGACACTAGTAACATTTTACGACTTCGTGGACTTATCATTCATCAGCTTGAAAAGACAATTATCATGCTCGACTGTCGTAAAACTTTTGAGAACGATTATCGTACTCAAACTCAGAAATCAACCAAACAAAATACTGGATTTGGTCTTTCAAGTATATAGCCTGTCTTCCGAGTACTGCTTAAAGTTTTATGATAGCTGTGACAGTGGCGGATTAAGAGAAGGGAAGGGTTACCCGGTCCACTTATGGCCGAAAATTGTGTTTTTACTACATTTTTATGATTTCTGACTGTCGCCCTCTTTAAGGTAATTTTGCAATGTTCCTACACATTTCCTCTTATACATACATCATCCGTCATATAATAATTCTGAAGTGACATCCAGTAAGAGGAGTCCAAGCCAGACAAATGATAAAACTGATAAAAATGTCACATGGACGTTAGTGGATATGTGGAATGTATAACTAAAGCTAATGTCACCGGTGACTTTGAGAAACTGAGACACTATTATTATTATAAGTCTGATAACAATTAACCAATTTACGATAGTCGCAGTAATTAAGGATTTTCCGGTGTCCTATTGTATAGTTTTTGAAGCTGAAATTTCTGTCGGTCTTTCTAATTGCTTTGCTGGAATATCTTTGAGTTACTATGAACTTTGATGAAATTAACATAAAGAACATGCTCTGTTAGAACGCATCTACTGAGATTTCCACAAACGAATTAAAAATAGATTGTTTTGCAAAGGCAAAAAAAAAGGTCTTACGTAGTAAAATTCAGTAATTTCCTGTTAACATCCGATCATAAGAACACAGAAAAACAAAACTAAAGCAACAGTAAACCCGCTCATAAAACAAGGGGTGAAATCGGGTGTTACGGTCGGGTAATCGTTATTTGATGGAAACGGTTTTGAAAGAATGAATTTGATGGAAACACTTACTTTTGCCAGGTCATCAATCTTTACTTTGTAGTTCCTATGTCTATCATTAAATATATTTGGACTAAGAAAAGTTATGGGACAAAAGTGCACAAGACACAAAAAGTAAACTAATAAAAACAATACCGTATCAAAGGAACACTGCTTTCACTGTATACTCCACTAGTTATGTTATAGCAGAATCATATTTTTCAACGCCAGACAAACGTTCTGGTTATGTCCGGAGCGCATTTATGGATTAAATAAAAAAGTAAATAAAAAAAAAAATTAAAATACATAATCTTTATTTCAAGACGGTTCATTTTCGTCGTGTGCTTTCTAAACCACATTGTGGGCAGATATCAATATACTAATATTTTATATTTCAAAAGTACGAACATAGTATGAAAAGTATACAAAATATTAACTACAAGTTTCCCCACTTCGTCTTATTTTCCAAGTGAACTGATAAGTTTTTGCTGCATCTTGGTAAGTGCTTTCAATTTCACTTCTGTCGCCAGATCTAACAGCTTTGATAAAGGCACACAACTCATTATAGAACGAATCCTGTTCAGGAAAAGTATACACGACATCTTTATTTGGGTCTTCTGACTTTATACTCCGGACGACTAGGGTGCATTCTTCCTCGACAGGTCTATGTAATGACATCTGTAAACCATCCATCTGTACTTCAACGGATATTTCATGCCGATTCCCAGGTAGTACTTTGGAGTGCATCAACGACCCAAGTCCGGCATCTTTAAATCTCCAATGACTAAAAGTTACTCGCGGAATTTTTTCACGAGGTGCTATATGACTTTCTACGTCATTAGGTAGATGATTTAAACACCCAGCCCCTGATGGGTCGTTGTCTTTAAGTATTACGGTTTGTATCGATTCTAGGTCTATATCGCCAGCAATATATCTAGCTAAATCACAAACGTGTGTTGCAACTTCTACAATGGGTCCTCCTGTTTTGTCAGTATTAAATGAAAACTCACTTAGAGGTCCCATAGAATAGGCAGAACAAAATTTCAGTCTGCAGGCCATCATTTTACCACCATGTGCCTTAATCAACTCCTTCATTTTAACGATGCCATCATGATATCTGAAAGAAATACACATCCTTGAGTGGAAGCTTATAATGTATAATAGCATTTATGGTCAAGCTACAGTAAACGGGCTATGTCACAGATTTTGATAAAAAAAAATTTAAATTCTTTTAAATATGAAGAACATTTGTATAGAAAACACATAAAATTGACGAAAAATGTTCTGAAATTTGTCTTTAAATCATCAAATCTTCAATTTCAAATCCATATATTTTTCTTTAAAAACGACAGGTTGTTGATACATAAATTTCCGTTTCTTATACTACCTCATTAATGAAATTACACAAATGAAACTGTGATACTGTCCAAAATTCTATAAAGTACTGCAGATAAATGTTTTTATTGACACATACACACCTAAACATATATCCAACTGACACGACAACATTATTTTCTCTGGATGCTCTCTCAACTTCTTCTACGTATTTGTCAAACTTCTCTGGTGGTACATTGGACTGAGGTTTCTCTGTAAAAACATGTATCCCAGCTTTAACAAACTGAAGCTCCATATCACGCCCATCTTCAAGAGAACCCCGGTAAAGCGGAGGAATTCCTATGAACACAGCATCTGGCTTAAGAGAAATCAGGTTGGTGAAATGTGAAAATACTTTGCAGTCTGTATAAAAGTGTCCAACTTTCTCGGAGGATAATTTTGTCCTAAGAACCTCTTCAGCTAGATTAGTGTTAGGGTCCACAATAGCAATGACTTTAATCCCTCCAATCTTTTCTAGACGTGTAGCATGGCCCCATGGTAACTTGAAATTAGCTTTGCCGAAGTGGATTCCTCCAGCACCAATAAAGCCAATTCGTAAAATTTTGGTATCCATAAAAATCTGTAACAAGCGTAAAATTGAATATCTTTCATTAAAGGTAACACAAAAGTTACTGTTCTAGTGAATATAAAATCAACGAAATTTCACAGTGCTAAATGTACAGTCAACTGCTTAAAATTATATTTATATGTAATGCGAATTTATTCGTTGCAATACGTTCAAACAACTAAAGAAAGATGCAAGACTAACAAGCGGATATACAACTGATTGAATATTCATTTACTTAACGTTCAGTATTTCATGCACATAATTTTTTATCCAGGAAGAAAAAAAAACTAATAAATTAATATTTTCTGCAAAGCGGATCAATCAGGATGAAATAATTCTGACTGCCACTGATAATGAAAAATGAGGATAATTTATGTTTGATAGAGACAATTTTTTTAGAGTACAGGGATCATAGCCCTCTTCCTACAAGAGGTTTGGGGTTCGAACTGGACATGGCTGCGTATTTATGCAAAAGCCAAATGCAAACAGACTCCCTTCTTTAGCATAAGTTTTACTAGCGGATTGAAGTGTCATGGTATGATCATAATTTTATACCCCTGTAAACCGTGGATGTCGATTTAAACAATTAAGAAATGAATGCTTCTCTTTGTGATTTTAATGGGTTGTAAAAGTGTTGACCGAAGCACATTTTGTATGAAGCGCGGAAGCGCTTCATTCTAACAATGTGTGTACGATCAACACTTTTACACCCCAATAAAATTACAAAAAGAAGCATTCATTTCTTATAATTACATTTTTATGCTAATGAGACCATGAACAAAAGTTTGATCAAGTTTTTCTTTTATTTACCTGTGCACTTTGGAAGCACGTGTTATCACGAATGTAACATTTCATTTTGATATAAAGGTTAATTTTTGAATGACGCGCGATTGTTGTTAGCCAATCAAACTAACGGATTCTCGTGAAACATACATGTAATGTGATTATTGATAAATAACAAATGCGTTTAACTATAAATAATGAGGAAGTATAATAAAAGGAAATAATAAAAGAACTGGTAAAACATCAACCAGAACCTATACATGTAACATATTAACCAATAAGTCGAATGAAAAATAGCTACGCTTGTACCATATACCTTATAACTAACTCCCCTAGGAGTATCATCGCCCATATTGAAAAACAATTTTTAATACTACCCAAAACACTCGACATCTCCGTGAAAAGGTAAAAAAAAAAACCAACAAAAAATACAGAAATCTGAAACCCAATACACTCTACTTACACGAAAGGACCATCCATGACAAGTGTCTATATGTGTATAGTTATTTTGATTCCAAAGAATAAAACACTCCGAATTAATGTGGTGATCTTTCCATTCAAGATAGTTAGGATCGAATATGTGAACGTACGATATTCTGTATACATTAAACGAAACACAGAAGCGAACGAACAGTAATCACCAAATATGAGACATCTGACAGAAAACGTGACAATTTTCCAAACAAGAGACAATATAGACCGAACATGTGGCATTATCGAAACACGACACATAGGAACGAACAATTGACATTCTTCAATAATGACATGGTCACATGCTCGCTAAATTCCATCCCCGTCCGGATCGATAAAAACCCTTGAAAATGGCTATTTGCTGCTTCTCCACTAAGATCGCGGCACTTATGAGTAAGAGAATAGACTGCGTTACTCGGACTAATGTGTCCAAGAAGCTTGACGTCGATTCCTGTTGACTTTTACTTTGTGAACTATAAAAAACATTAAAAATGCGGGTCAGCGTGTTGGCCTTGCTAAAAACATGGTTCATATCACATTGACATGTTCTCGTCCTGCTCAATGTACTATTTGCAATTTGAGCTTCATATTTTATAATCCAAAAATATTTTCACATGCATTTTGCAAAAAAATGTTGTAGCTATCAGTTAAAACACATATCCCATATAATTCTGATATATATATTTGATGGATTTAAAAAGTAGTCTATACATGTACCTAACGAATCCTACATATTTTATGAGATATCTGTAATTATTGTGGAACGAGCCTCATATAAACAATAGCCGTATAATTTTTATTTACAGGTAACTTACTTTAGCTTGAAATGACCTCTTCATACAATTTGTAGCAGACTACAGAAGACTTGACACAGGTAAAATATGACCTACTTAGATAAAAGTTGATCAATGAATGTCGCAATTTCACAATTATTAGGAAAGCATTTGTGGAGAGTTTAAACTTCATATAGATTCTTTGAAATCATTTACAATATCAATTAAAATAATAAATTTTCAGTGTGATGTTTTGTAAATTGTTGTTTGTGTTTCTGTCTATAAGTTTGGTCGTCCTGAACATGCATAAAATATTTGCCACTGGACGTCAAGCATGCGACAATCATAGATCTATCTTATTTGTTTGTCTACTTTTGGATTAAATCCACTCTTTGATATATTTTCATATTTATATTATAAAAATGTTGTGTTTTTCTTTGAAGTAATGACCAACGATAATCTTGAACACTACACATAGCTGTACATTTTGATAAGTTTGACTACCTATAGTTTCTTTATCTCTAAAATATAATTATCGTATACTTGTAACCAAAAGTCTTGACATCACAGTCATGAAAGGTAAGCACTTGTGTTTAATGTCGACAAATGATATAGATATATCTTTACCAGATTATTACTTTTTGAAATTGTATAATTATTATTTTTCTAAATTTGCTTTATGAAAACGTCTTGAGCATTACATAGGAGAAATTATACATGTATCTAAATTGTTACCCTTATCTTTTTTATCAAACATTAAATTAATGTAGTTGAGCAATGAAAGACAAATTGCCTGTTCTCTATGTCACAAAGATGAAACGTACGTATATACATTAAGTGGAACGGTAGTGTTAATTCCCGGGAACTAGATTGTTCTTTTCTGTACCTTACTAACTGAAGGTTAATATATCTGAGCAATGTGATTGGACAAAAGTGCAGCATCTACAGAGACTGAACACTTTCCTAAGCAGAGGAATAAATCAGGTGTAGACAAATACAATATTATAGTAATTTTACATACAAGTTACATAATTTACATGGCATATATGATCTGTTTGACCTCTAAAAAATATATAAAATGACAGCTCTTAAACTCTTCAACGCCAGTATTAATGTATCGGAGTATTGATACAACATATGTATCAGGTCGAAAAATATCGCATTCGCTACTGAACAATAAAAAAACTTCTACATTCTATAGATAGTACAAAACATTTAAATGCTATCATTCAAAGAACATTTATTGTATATTTTGGAAATGAAAAAAGAAATGCTCACCAAAAGAACAGTTCAGATTGCATTTTCGTTTCGTTATTTGAACAATTAAGGGTGCCTTTATTTTTTTAATATATTTTAGAATTGACATTCCTGTTATTAGCACTAGTGGTGCTTGTAGAATGTAATAGTATAAAACATGTACAAGGTAAGTAATTTCTTAAGTAGACAATTACCCTATACCTAACCCTGACCCTAACCACGACAAACCGGTGCACATAAGTACAAATAGTCGTTTCCTCTCGCATACACACAGCAATACACTTACAAATGTACTACTACTACTACTACTACTACTACAATGTACTACTACTACTACTACTACTACTACAATGTACTACTACTACTACTACATGTACTACACACAGACGATTTTAATTTCCCTATTATACTGTTTCCATTTATAGTTTTGATAGCGTCTACACAAGAAAGTACGTCTTTTCCTCAGAGCCTGCGTGCTGACAAGTTAACTTATATTGAGCAGTTCATGTGTTTTATGCTATTTTATCGCAAAAATGAGCAAAAAGGTTAAATATAAACAAAATGTCTATAAATCCTGATTATTTAAAACCGGGTAATTTTCGCGCTGTCTTTTATTCGCTATTTGCTTGCTGAATTTAAATTCACACCGTTTTGAATTAGTGAATTTCGAGTGGTATTCATTGTACGGTCACATCGAGGTTTCATGACATGTTCGCGGTTGTTTTATTTCGAGTATCAACTCTTTTATCGCGAAAATAAAACTACTGTGAAAATTTTTTTGTTAACAGTATGAATATACAGTTATCTTTATAATGATATATAATATTCAGTTTGAACATTCGTGTTATATATTTGTTTAACATTGTATTTCAATTGGTTAAGACATAAAATCATGTTTAAATTTGTTTTTCTGATAAGATGACCAAATGTGCAAATTCGCTTGATTTAGCATAAAATAAACAACCGTAGAGAGGATCTGACATGTATTTTTGAAGAATTTACTTGTAAAGGATTAAGTTTGTATGAGCAATGTATGAATCAACAATATTCTAAAGACGTTGAAGCGAATACTACTTTTGAGGAAGCAGTCCACCATTGATGTATGACATGTTCAAATTATACATGCTTCTGCACGTTTTATAGCTTACTATACCGTATTGGCTTTGCTAATTGTTGAAGGCCGTACGGTGACCAATTGTAGTAGCTTGCATCTACGTAATTTGAAAAGGGTATTTTCTTTAATATGCAAAGAGATTACTAAATTGAAATTAAACATTTAATCAATTATATCATCTGTAAAAAAAATCACCCAAAACTATACCCATGTACTTGTATAAAAAAAATTAAATACATGGGCTTGTATAAAAAAATTATATACATGTGCCTGTAGTAAAAAAAATATATACATGTGCTTGAAGTAAAAAAAATTGTATACATGTGCCTGTAGTAATGAAATTATATACATGTGCCTGTAGTAAAAAAAATATATACATGTACCTGTAGTAAAAAAAATCATATACATTGTACATGTGCCTGTAGTAAACAAATTTTATAAATGTGCTTGTAGAAAAAGAGGACGGTGGTAACATGAATGGTCGCTATCTGGTAGCCAGTGGTGGAAACCAGGCTGTACCTTTTAA